GGGAGGCCTCGATTCTCCGGCATTGAGCCGTCAAAGAGGCTGCCCCCCAAAAGCCCTCTGGCCTGGAGCCTATCGCAAAGGCTCCGTGTGAGTGCTACTTGAGGTAGCACCCCTCCATACCACTGGTGTGCGGGTCGCTCCCTCGCAGTCCGGGGAGAGCGACCACCATCACTGATCCACAAACCGGAAGTCCCAATGTCTCTCATTCTTTACATCCCATGTCAATTTCATGCTGCGCTGACGATCCCCCCTTTATTTTGTTTGCATGCAGCACTGAAATCATTTTTTGTTTGTTTGCTTGTTTTGCACTGGGGATGCAGCTGTTTGCTTCCTCTTCACTCCCCCTTTCAAGTCAATACCAGCAGGGAACTAAACCTTGTGCAGTTCATTTTAAATGTTCTCCCCATTGTTTTAATTTTTTTTAAACTCAGCTATCTGTGACCAGCAATAATCTCATATTGCTAGACTCATGTCACTTGTCAAAAAGAAAACTAAAATGAGGGAGAAATGGTGCTTGTACAGTGATGAAGGGGGGAGGATGACGGTAGGTGCAGAATCGGTGGAGCAACCTTGGTGTGGCCAGGGAGTGACCTTTGAGGGGCAGCAAAAGGGAGGGAGTCTGACGGAATTTGTACACTTTTGAATTACCTTCGGCTTGGAAGCGAAAGTAAAAAATCGGCACAAAAGCACTCTCAGAAAACCCAGGGAAACAGCGATCTAAAAGCAAACTGAGTACTGAAGGGAGGAAAATCAATGCAGAATGAGAAAGAAAACCCGATAGCTTGCATGGTTAAAGTGCCTGTGCATAATAGGCCCATGACTGAGAATAGATTGGACAGATGTCGCTCTGATTGCTGAGGAAACAAAACACTGTCAGGCTAATTGAAGATCATTTTTTTAAAAACACCCAATTTTTTTCCGGTATCAAAATTCTGCTCTGTTATCAAACACTGTCACAATAGACCTCCCATAGGAAGAAATTCATATGTTTAACATTCCCTACCAACTCAGCTGCAGTGGCTCAAGTGGTTAAGACGCTTTCAGCAGTTCGAGACCCGAGTGTGCCGCATGACAGAGTGAGCTCCCGTCTCTAGTTCCAGCTCTTGCCAACCTAGCAGTTTGAAAGCAAAAAATTGCAAGTAGATAAATAGGTACCACTTCAGTGGGAACGTAACAGCGTTCCGTGCAACTTGGTGTTTAGTCATGCTGGCCACATGACCACAGAAACGTCTTCGGACAGCGCTGGCTCTTCGGCTTTGAAATGGAGATGAGCACCGCAACCCTAGAGTCGGATTCGACTGGCTTTCGAGCAAGGGAACCTTTACCTTTACCAGCTCAGCTCTTTATTTTCTGTGCCTGGGTTAAATTGTCCGATGACATCATCTCACCGGATAGTAATAAAAGTTTCTCCTCAGAACAGGTTATGTTACCTAAGGGGGGGGGGTCAGCAATCCAGTCCCATCCATTGTATTAGAAATCAGTATTGGAAGCTAGTGTTCCCTCTTAAGCTGAGTTAATGTGAGCTAGCTCAGTTTTTTAGCCTTCAGCTCAAGGATTTTTGTCTTAGGTGCTCCTGGACTCTTGCTCTTTTCTGGCCTTGTATCCGTCATGGAGAGAAAAGGTGCCACTCTGTGCGGAAGCAGCACAACTTTCCAAGCACCTGGGCATTCACGACAGTTTCAAAAACACCTGCTCCAGCCGGTTCATGGGAGTATCGGGGAGGGTTAAAATTGCATAAGTCACAACTTTCCCCCCTCCCCTCCTTAGAGGCAGACATCACTTTCTGACACTAAATGCTAATTACACATTTGTTGGTGCCACAATGGATAGCAGTTACAATAGGTGTCAACAGAAACCATGACTTGGGGCGGGGGGG